ATAAATAATATAGGTGTTAATTCTCTATTGGACTGTTTAGCTTTAAGAGACCTTGTAGCAGCTGCATCTTTCTCCATTTTGCTCGCTTCTAGCAGGTAGCTAGAAGTGTTGTTGAACACTCTGCACTTACTGATAAGGTTTATTAAACAACCAAGCCCAAACACGAGAAAACACCATTTCTATCGTGTATTTTTTAATCGTGGCTCTGAGTGAAGGCAGAAGAGACTGAGACAAACCACTCATTAAGTGGTGCCAAATCCCCACCGCTGTTACAATTTCCTTTCCCCTTGGCTGTGTGTGCAGGCAGCGGGCAGATCCAGCTGTGGCAGTTCCTGCTGGAGCTGCTGTCGGACAGCTCCAACGCCACCTGCATCACCTGGGAGGGCACCAACGGCGAGTTCAAGATGACAGACCCCGACGAGGTGGCGCGGCGCTGGGGCGAGAGGAAGAGCAAGCCCAACATGAATTACGACAAGCTGAGCCGGGCGCTGCGATACTACTACGACAAGAACATTATGACCAAAGTGCATGGCAAGAGGTATGCCTACAAATTTGACTTTCACGGCATCGCCCAGGCCCTGCAGCCCCACCCCACCGAGTCCTCCATGTACAAGTACCCGTCGGATCTGTCCTACATGCCGTCCTACCATGCCCACCAGCAGAAGGTGAACTTTGTGCCCCCACACCCCTCCTCCATGCCTGTCACATCATCCAGTTTCTTTGGAGCGGCCTCCCCCTATTGGACCTCCCCTGCAGGAAGCATTTACCCCAACCCCAACGTGCCCCGCCACCCCAACGCCCACGTCACACCACACTTGGGCAGCTATTACTAAAATGCTTTGATCTGCCAGTGGCCTTGAGCAGTCTGGTTGGACTTTTTCTTTACTCCTGGGATTTTTATGGTGTTTGGGGGGACCCTCAATGGATAATTGTGGCCTTTCTGGGGAAGAATTAAAACTGGATATTTGTTATTCCTGGACCAAACCTTTTACTTTTGTAACTTTGACTCTTGTGTCTTGAACTGAGAGATGGAAGCTCCTGTGGGCCAGTACTCAGCGTTTTCTTTGGGGTTTAAGGCTCGTGTCCTCTGTAGGATATGACAATGAAGATGGTTCACCATTCCCTGGAATGATTATTAGCTTTTGGATGAGAGGAATTTTTAAGGATTCAAAGGCTTTTGACAAGGCATAGGTGCAGCAGTGGGTCATAGGAGAAGATGACCACAATGGGTTTTTTCTCACTGGCCATTTTACCATTCAGTGGAGGACGTTGGGCTGCAGGGGACCACAACTGGAATCTTAGCTCTAAGGCAGAGGAGGATTTTCACCCAACTGGAAATTAAATATATATATATATTCATATATATATATATATATATATGTACATGTATATTTTAAGAAGTAAAGGGCATTGAAGGAACTTTTCTAGAGTACAACTTCATTCAATTGTGTGTGAACTCAGAAAGCAGCAGAAACCAGAACAAAGCGTGAGGCAAAGTCAAGCACAGACATTCCTTGAGAGCAGAAGTGAGGAGAATAATCGACAGCAGGTCCCTGGCTCTGCCCGAGCCGCGGGCTCTGGAAGCACCGATTCGCGAACGCTGTGCGTTTGTCAGACCGTCCAAACAAGGGTCAACAAACCAGAAGGCAAATTACTGTATAAATTATGCAGAGTTATTTTTCTCTATATCTCACAGTTTTAAAGGAAAGAGTAAATAAAACGAGTTGACCTCGGTCACAAATGCAGGTTTGTTTTTTTACTATCAGCTCGGGTTTTTTTGTTTATTTTTTTAATGTAATTTGTACATCTTTTCAATCTGTACATTTGGGCTGTAGCTTTGTACTTTTTGCTAAAAAAAAAAATAAAAAATAAGACATGAGTAATGTATCTGTTGGAGATAGGCTTGGTCCTGCAATTGGATCCATGACTAACCCCCAAAGTGGCCAGAAACCTTCCAGATTGCCCTGGGTTTGTCTAGAGGAGAGGATTTTCTGTATTAGTCTGTTGTAGCTGTCTGCAAATTAACTCCACTTACTCCCAGGTTTGCATTGAGACTGATTGAAAACAGGCCCAACATCTCCAGGCAGCCATTGCAATATTCTGTGATTGCTTTTCACCCAAATCCTGAACTTTGGGAAGATCTTAAAACCACTTCATAGATAAAACAACGAAATACTCCTCTTTTTGATGGCTTCTGCTGGGGGTTCTGTGGAAATCCAACCCCTTCCAGAGCTCTCAGCCATCCCCAGCTCTGCACATGTGAATGTGACGCTGCACAAGCAGCGGTTTGGTGCCATAAACAGAGGGTAAACCACAAGTGTTTGGGGTTTGGAACAGATGTCTGGGGGGCGAGATTTCCATGTACAACCCATTAGCTGACTTGTATTAAGTGGCAGCCAATTAACAGGATCACAACTATCTAGTCTAGACCAACCCCTGGGACTCTGTGGGGGCGGGATTTGGTCCATGTGCATCCGATTGCAGGAGGGGAGTCTGAAACCAGAGCATTGGAGTCTGCTCAGAACGTTGAACACAAGCACTGATGCCATTATTTAACACAGTGGGAAGAGAAGATCAAGCTAATACAGTTAGGTCTTAGTGCTTTCGGGGTGTTTTTAAGTAACATTTCTGCAATAATCGCAAAGTTTAAGTATGAAGGAACTACCCATGGAAATGGGGCTTTTGCTACTATATATATGCAATGTACTTTTTGGATATTAAAATATATATAATTTTGCAAGCTATTTTGGTGGGTTGTTTTTTTTTTTTTTTAAATGTATTAATGTTACAAAGAAACAGTTGTATGAAGAAGATGATGTAAAAAAAAAAAGTGACAAAATAAATGGTGGTTTTCTTCACTAAGGCATCACATTGTCCCACTCTCTCCCTCCCCTCTCACACTTGCATGCACTTGAAATTAAATTTAGCTAAAAAGGGAAAGAAAGCAGCTTCACAGCAGTGGCAACCCATCCTGATCCCTGTAGTATTGCCCACTCACTCCAGAAAATTGTTGCCAGAGTTGATCAGACTCGGTTTGGTTGTTGAAGGGATTAAAACCCAGGCTCTGGCTTTTGTCCAGGGAGAGACAGAGAAAGTGGAAGGGCAGCCAAAGCTCAGAAGCTGAACTGCCGAGGGGCTCTTGGGGTGCCCCGGGGCCCCCCAGGAATGTCAGTGTGTGCCCAGCCCGCTCCTGTTTCCCACCTATCCCCAAACCCCAGGAGAGCCAGCGCTCCGCAGCATTCCTGAGGTGGAGGCTGCAAAAACAAGCTCTGCCAAGGAATCTTCTGATTGTGGATAAAGGTCAGGCCGAGGCACTTCCTGCAGCTTTGCACGGTGGTCCTGAGAGATATCTGGAGCTCCTGCAGACCTGATAAAGCCTTGGGAAGCCAGGGCTGCACAAGCACAGCACTTCCTTCCTGCACACAACCTTTTGTTGCTGAGCGCCAGGACAAAGCTGCACTGGCTCGGGAAAAGGGCCACTTCCAGCACCCCAGAGCTGCTCCCTCTCTGGATTCCACCAGTGTTGCTCAATTTAGTCACAAGAGCGAGTGGTTTGTTGCTTATCTCCGTTGTTTTCCACTGCAGCACCAGCGAGATTAATTCTGGCTGTGCAGCATCAGTGGAAATACCAAGTATTTTATTTAAACACCGTATCCTGCCTGCCTGCCAGTAATAGGAAAATCAGAAGATGAGATTGCACAAAAGCGTCTAAAGACAGAATCTGAAGGTTATCAGGGTGCAAAGATGTCCCTGATAGCAAAATTTGGCCAGCAGGAATCTTGGGGGAAAAAAAAAAGACATTAGAAAATAACCAACAATTTAAGAAGCATCTGATTCTGACTGCCCAGTGTGTCAAAGGAGCCCCCTGAGATGGGAGGTGATCAGCAGCATCCCAGCTCAGGTCTTCTCTGCCTCCTTCATCCTTCCCTTCAGGGTATTTGCTGGCATTAATCCTTTCTACTATTCACTAATATTTAGCTTTAGATATTAATTTTTTGTAGTATTTGCTAATATTTAGCTTTAGACAGATTTTGTCTCCCACTCCAGGCATTCCCATGGAATCCAGAGATCTTAGAGCAAGGAGCTCTCACCCCAGAGTGCCAGACAGCCTCACACTGCTGGGGCACTTCCCAGGCACCTTTTAGAGCATTTGCATAGGATCTTAATAATTTACATTCTTCATATAAAGAGTAATAAGACAGAGATTGGAGCAGATAACTTGTACCCCTCAAAACCAGCCTGGTTTTGCCACATTGGAAGTGCCAGGAGTGGGAACAGGGGGATCTCCCCTCCCAGCCCAAGCTTCTGGATCACACTGGGACAAAGCAAACAAGGAATTTGGCAGCCCTAATGCTACTTTCTGCTTTTCCCAGGAGGACAAGGCAGATGGAATTCAAGTATTTCAGGCTTCAATCAGAAAGTTGAGCAGACAGATGGTTGGGATCACATGGCTGTGAGCTAGGAGTCAGCAGGGGCAGCATCGATGTTCTCTGCACTGATGTTCAGGACTCAGAGCTCCCCAGGAAACCCAGCTCCCGTTGCAGTCAGTGTGAATTCAGCTGCTGATTTCCAGGGATCTGGTATTTCCCCAGCATTTCTGTCACATCACCCTGAATGGGATCTAGTTCAAACATGCCAAACTGGAATTAACTCGACACTCCTCTATCTATAAATAGAGATGCAGCCTGTACATTGAGTAGAATCAGTGATGGCTTTATGGGCTCAGAGCTGTGGCTCTCTTGGCTGGACCTCCGTGCTGCTTTTCTCTCTTTGAGCTTCTCCTGCCTCTGTGTGTGTGAATTCCTCTTGCTTAATTACAGCCAGCAGGTTTAGAACCTGCTTTGAACTGGATTTTGAAGCAGATTTTTAATCCCCACTGGAAGATGGAGCTCTCAGCTTAAGCACTTGTTAGATGCTCTAAACCAGGGGATAGCAAATCCTTCCAGAGATCACTCCTGTCCAGAGTCCTTGTAGGCCAGAACTCACCCCCTGTGCACACTGTGCCTTCCTGCTTCATACACCTAAAAATTGTATTTTAGCCCTGAGGATGAGCTTCCAGACAGCTGCAGATTTCTAACAGAGTACTGTGGCAAAGGGGAGGGATTTCCCTGTGCCAAGACCTTCCCTTAGCAAAGACAAAGACAGATTTCTCATACTCGTGTCCAATAAGTGCACTCCAGCCCAAATGAGACATTAATTATGGGGGAAATCTGCCATGACTTCTGTGGACGTAAATATTTAACGTGAGGCTGGACTTGCCCAGCAATGTTTCATCCACATCCATGGCAGTAAATGCCCTAGCCTGAAGCTTTGTGCTCAAAGGAGGGATGAACCCAGCTGCTGTTTCCCACCTCTGTGTCACAAGGAAAGACCCATCAGTCTGTAACTGCTGGATGAAGGCATCCAGCTTCTCTTCATTATCCTATTACAATAATAGCTTTTACAGGCTGCTTTGCTGTGCTGATCCAGTATTTTTAATAACTTCTGGGAAATTAGTTAGTGAGACTTCAGCCTGCTGCCTACCAAAGTCTGTTCTCCCACATCAAACCGAGCGTGGCTGCATTTGGTGTTAATCAGAGCTGCAGTGCAAGGCCTGGCATTTATAAATTCACTTCAAAGACCTTATTTGTATATTTTTGCACAATATCCAGCATAACATACACATGACAATTTTCATCTGTGAAATCAGAACTCGCTGCAAATAAATCTCAGACCTTTCTGTTGTACCAGAAAGGAATTGAGAGACCTCTGATTTAGGTCGTGTGGAGAATTACAACACATCATTTAACTTGTGTGTTATGATTTTTTTCCACTACAGAGATAGAAATCCCTGCACCTGAAGCTCAGATTCTTCTATTATATCAGAACAGAGTTAGAGATCCTTGACAAAAATCAGCTCTTCAGGCTCCAAGAACAGCAAACAAAGCCTGATACCAAACCCACTGAATGTGAAGACCAAAGGCAGAGCAGTTTTGAGGCCATGACAGCAATAAGCCCATCAGCCCTGCACCCCACAAGAGCTGCCCCAGGGAGCCCCAGGGATGTGCTCAGTGCAGGCAGGGGATGGGCACAGCTGGGTTTGAGGCTGAGCAGCCACCCCAACCCCCATCAATAACTGCAGCAGGAAGGGCTTTGGGCAGGGGAGGTTTTCTGGGGGAAAGAACCTTGCTGCTCCTAACCAGGCACTACAGGATTCAGTCCTGGAGCTCCTGTTTGAAGCTGCAATGGTGAGGGAAGATGAGGAGCCTGGGGCTCTGGCAGTTTGGTGTGATTTCACCAGCAGAGCTGGTTCCTTCCTTTCCAGGAAACTTGTTATTTGCTTTGGCTTCTCCCTAAGTTTCTGTCTTCTGGAGCTGTGAAGTCCAGTGTGGATGCACCTCCCCTCTCTGCTGCTGCTCAGGCCACAGCAGAGCCTCCTCCCTGCAGGGCAGGCTGGGCAGGGACATCTCCAGCCCTTGGGAGCACAGGGTTGGTGTCCCAAGTGTCTCTGTGCAGTGGCTGCAGGGGGCTGTGCTGGGAGTGTTGGCAGAGGGTACCTGTAGAAACCTGAACACCTTCCCTGGGTTTTCTGTCTCCCTCAGGTCCCATGTATAATACATACATCTCTCTCTCTCTCTCTCTATCTATCTATCTATCTATCTATCTATCTATCTATCTATCTATCACATATATACACTTGTCACACCCCTGCAAGTGCCCAAGGCCAGGCTGGATGGGCCTTGGAGCAATGTGGGGTAGTGGAAGGTGTCCCTGCCCATGGCTGCAGGTGGAATGGGATGAGCTTTAAAGTCCCTTCCAACCTAAAGCACTCTGTGATTCCATATAGATTTATGTATATTGTGTAGAACAGTATATATAGACATACATATTTATACAATTGTGTGTGTATATATACTGATATTTGATATAATAGTGTATTGTAGTGTTAAGGTAAAACAAATTAAGAAGGGGGTTCAGCTTGGGGCAGATGTTTCTGTGGAGGTTTTAAAACTTCCCTTAATGCCCCATTTCTGGAGGCTCAAGGCTGACAGGGAGCCAAGCAGCTCCCCAAAATTCTCAGCCAGCATATTCCAAGCTCTGAAGACCCAGGAGTACTGTCATCCCAACACTGCTGTGAGAATTTGAGGAGCAGCATCCTTCTCCATGAGGGATAGAGGGGAGCAGGGGGTCGGGTATGGGGGTGGAAGGAGATGACCTTTAAGGTCCTTACCAGCCCAAACCATCCTGGGATTATGGGCTGGTTCCATAGTCCCATAGTTCCATGGTCCCACAGTTCCATAGTTCCATGGTTCTATAGTCCCATAGTTCCATGGTTCCATGGTTCTATAGTTCCATAGTCCCACGGTTCCATAGTTCCATGTTTCCATAGTTTCATGGTTCCAGAGTTCTACAGTTCCACAGTTCCATAATTCCATGGTTCCATGGCTCCATAGTTCCATGGTTCCATGGTTCCACAGTTCCATAGTTCCACAGTTCCACAGTTCCATAGCTCCATAATTCCATGGTTCCATGGCTTCCACAGTTCCACAGTTTCATGTTTCCATATTTCCACAGTTCCATAGTCCCACAGTCATGGTTCGTGGAGCTCCAGGCACAGCAGCACAAGGGGGTGTGATCTTTGCTTCCAGACCCATCCCAAGGGATGTGGTGGCTCTGCAGGCTTTGCCAGTGGCAGTGACTCCTTGGGGAACCAGGAGCACTTCCAGAGCTCGGGGGAGCTTCATCTGAGCAGGAACC